AAATGTAAGGATTCAATTTTGGTACTATAATTACAAGATTTATTTTCTTCACATGCATTGCCATCAAATTGTGTGTTATCAAATTATAAACGTTGGACAGTTAATTTTAATTATTGTCGAAGAAGTTTATTTTTTGTGATAACATATCAATAAAAGACTTATATTATATCTACTATTAAAAATTTATTTTTATAAAAAATATTTAATGTATTAATAAATAATAATTCACAAAATTTTATATTAATCGTTCATAAATTTATACAGATAATTTTCCATGACAAATTTTTATTAACGAAAAGAAGGCCTATCACTATCTTATTAATCATTTTAGTTTTGTATTTTCCAATGCCGATCTTAAGCATTTAATAGAAGGCTTATCTTATGCAATGCATTGTAATCGACAAGTTACAACCGTGCCAAATAAGACAAAGGCCTATCTAAATTTATTGTTACTTGTACAGGTGTTTTAGGCGATGTAGATAAAAAAAAAAAAAAAAAAATTTACCCCCAAAAGTTTATGTCTGCTCTGCAAGAACATGGGTCCGCCAATGTTTATAATAGTTCTAATTTATTAGTTACGTGAACAGGTGTAAATGAAATCAATCAAGAGTAAAATAATCATATATATATATATATATATATATATATATATATATATATAATTTGTTTGAAATAAAACAATATATATTCATTTATAGAAAATAAAACAAGATATATTCAATGGTGTTGGATTTCTTTATAGAATGAACGAGTTTAAGTAGAATTAATCCAACTCTTCCTCAAGTCTTATCACATCATGTACAATGCTTTGGACCCAAGCTTGCCTAATCAGTTGGATACGTCTATTGCGGCCGCTTAATTTAAGAAAGCAAGTGAGATTGAGATAAACATTGGATTTTTACATATATTTTCTATTGGCATAGTTTATTCCTGTAAGTACGTTGTAATCAGTGACCTTTTTTAAGGAAAATCTTGACAAATCATGCTCGTGCTTATTGTTCTTGGTAACAGACGTGATTGATATGTTTATGTTGGATTTATGTGCTCTTTCTTATATATTTATGGAGGAGATATCTTAAAAAATAGTGGATTATTGTGTGTGTACTAATATAATAATAGTATAATCAATACCAACAAAGTCTGACACAGTTAATAAATAATTGAGTCCTTTAAGCATGCTGACAGATATTTGATAATGTGTCTAGAAAAGATTTTGTTGGGAGAGACTGTACTTACAATCGTGTGATCTCTCTGCCTCGAAGAGATTAGTTCTTGGCTTTCGGCTGGAATACCCTTGGAACAAATTTCAAAAAAAAAAAAATAGCATAGCCAATGGGTGGGGTGATAGCTAAAAGTGAGGGCTTAAAATATGTGTACCTTATAAATTTAACTCCTTATTTATAGATGAGTTACCTGATAAGAATGAACTTCTGGGCCTCTTAGAAATATTGAAGATCCAACTCTTGATTCATTACTGTTGTATTATGATTAATATATTTAAGGAATTTTTTTTTTAATTTTTTCTTAACTGTTAGCCCTTCTATAATATGAGTCTTTATCAGGTCATAACCCTTCTATAATCCGTCTCTTATTTTTCACCACTTTATATTATGAAAATAAATGCATAAAAAAGTACGAGCTTTATTGCATATTATATCACACACTTAAAATGTTTAAGGCATACAATAAATATCAAACTCAATTTCTCAATGAATTTCACAAGAATAATCAATAAGTATCAATCGAATATAACAAGCATATCCCAAAAGAAATCCCTAGTCAGTGAAATGTTACTATCCCACTTTCAATCATCAACAGTGAAGAAAATATATTTACTTTACTTTGAAGTCTTCTTGAGTAATGTGCACCAAGAGACAGTGTTAAGAGAATAAGAAAGTAGTTTAAAATAAAAAAACTTCTATAGTTATATTGTTAATATATGCATTATATTTTGTTCAAATATTTAATTATTATAATTATTCAATTTTTTCAAATAAAATATTCAATAACATTATAAAAAGAACATTGCTCCTGTGTCTATATTTTTTTAGTAGATAAAATTTTAGATTATGAAAAAGCACCTTGCAAAGTCAAGAAAGACCATGAATAAAAATTTAGGGGTAGATTACATATCCCATTTATTGTGATTTAAGGACATAAGTATCACTATGTATTCAGGATTAGTCATCAAACATTTCATTGGCTGTTAGTTATATTTATTAGATTTTTAAGAAGAAAATCTTAGATACCCTCGAAGCAAGAGAAACCTTGTAGTCAATATCATTTAATTTGTGCTACTTAGTTATCTGAACCATTGTTTTTCATTTTAATAACATTTTTAATATTATAGTTTGAATAACATACATTAATTAATATAAAACAAGAGATTTATTTGATTCTGAGAGTACCTAAGAATCTCTCATACTTTAATACATTTATTATTTCATCAACTATATGGTTGGCAATTAATCCAGATATATTATAACAATCCTTACGCAATAACACCATACTATTAACGTTTCGCAAAAATTTGTGTGGTTCAAAACACATCTGGAAAGTTTTATCATACTAGAGCAATCAAATGCGTTACCTGACTTAACGCATTCAGTTTCGTCAACAATACTGACGTGACTTGTGTCCATGTCAGCAAAGTGGAGCAGTTTCATACACGTGACTTGATCTGGTAGAGTCTTGTCACACAAATATATTGACTTTCTCGCTGACAGCACGGGTTCCGCACGGGACCCTTGTGAATTTCAGTACCATTTTCTTCAAAAATTCATAACTTGAGCTACGATGCTCCGAATTGAGCGCAGTTTGAACTCACACGTAGCTAATGAAGAGATATATAACATCTTCAGAGATTAGGACCATAAATGTAGTATAAAATTCCTTAAGTAAACAAAAATTGGAGATGTTTAGTGTTGAATAACAATAAAAATAATTTTTTAAGCCTTACTGGTCTAAGGGGACTACTTGGCACACTATGGTAGCAAAGTATGGTCTAAATAAAATTATATTAGGTGTTACACACATAGTTTAAATTATGGTTCCAGTTATTGGAATTATTTTAATTACAGAATTGATTTTAAACAGAAACGTTTATAAATAAAAAGGAAAAAGTTTATCCATACTTTAATTCAATTATTGTGATTGTAACTGCGCTTAATACCATACGTAATGTTAACAAACCGGTTTTAGAACGGGGTGTTACACATCTAGCGTCAAATAAATTGACGTCATGTAATCCCATCACACAAAGTGACGGCATCACCATCGTCTACTAAATAAGATCAAGCCACGTGGCATGAAATTGTTCCACTTTGCTGATGTGGACACAAGTCGCGTCAATATTGTTGTCGGGACTGAATGCGTCAATTCAGGTGACGCGTTTGACTGCTCTAGTATAGCAAAACTTTCCAAATATACTTTTAACAGGAGAAATTTTTGTGAAATGTTAGTAGTCCGGTGTTTTTGCCCAATTCTTATCACAAAATTATTAAACTTATATCTTACATCAAAATATAATAATGAAAATATGTACTAATACTTTAGGCTATCATTGAAGACCTCTTACACAAAGTCACCAAATTATTACAACTTAGTAGCTTTTGGAGTAGGTAGTGTGTCGGCAAAAGAGTCCAAAACTAGAACAAGACAATTATCTAGAAGAAGATCTTGAGCTTCTGAATTTTTAAAACCCCACCATCCCCTGCTTTCAAAGAATCAGATATGTGTTTGATCTCCATGGAATGGGAATGATGAGGTCAACCTCACAACCCTCACTTAAAGGGTAAGATCATGACCATGACAGCCTAGATCAGTGTCAATTTGAATCTTTTCTAAGCTAAAATACGAAGTGCTCTTCAAAAGACAGTGCAAGTTTATCATTATTAATAAGAATAATTAATGCATTTTCATAAGAAGTTGATGGTACTTTATAAAGTACACTTTGGATAATTTATAAATTAAGGCAGCTCCTAAATTATGCATATTAAATATTAATATAATCGCCCTCTCAAATCCGTGAGTTGAAGAGGAAGGTTTAGCGGGCGGCCACCTAATTAATGCTTCCTCTTTTTTTTTTTGGATAACATTAATGCTTCCTGTTTGAACACTTAATTCGACTTTTAATTAAACTAACAATAATCCACTTACTAATAAAAACAAAGATGCCCCGTTAACTAGACCAATTGGTAATGTCCTATTATTTTCATCTAGTTCTTCTATTTGTTTGAAAGCTGGCAACTTGAAATATTCAAATGTAATGATTTTTAAAAGCCTATAATCAATTTTATGAGTCAATAACAGGAAAATGCCTTGGGATTATTAGCCCTCCCTGAAGCAGAACTATGATTGTGAACAATGACCCTGAAAAATAATTAGTTGTTGAATCTCCTTGACTTGACCAAGTAATCCTATTCTTGTCAGTGATGCAGGGTTCTTTCTTTTCATAATAAAATGTTACATAACCCGAATCATAGTATTTTATAATGTCTAAGCCATCATTGGTCCAAATAAATAGTCTTTTCCATAAGGTACATAGAAACCATATCAAGACTCGAATAAAATTGCAGTAGTGACTACAAGTCAACCAGACAATATCCCGCAATTCTGTCCTATGCTATCACTTAAAATATCTTCAAAAAAAAAAAAAAAAATATTAATACCATTCATATGCCAATTCATTATTGATAAGAAGTGTAGGTGTCTATCAAATTTTCTCATTTTTCATTAAACTTCTGTCTTGCAATTTTAACCCTTGTTACTCCCGCAAAACATACTCCAACTAAACTTCACTGTAAATTAGCATTACTAGACATGATATATACACTTTGTAATTTTCAGCATGACTAGCTAAATGAACGTTTAACGCTTCAAAAATTACTGCAACTAGATTGAACTATTGATAGGAAATCATTATACAAGCTTGGCATAGATGTGCCTAATCCTACACTGATAGCCAACAAGAAAAATAAGGAACATGACTATTAAGAAAGTTACAGTCCAATACAATTTCTTGAGGAAGTGATTCCACCATCCACGACAAGATTATGACCACTAACATACTTGGATTCATCACTAGCAAGATAAAGTGCAGCCTCAGCAATGTCTTTAGGCCTTAAATTTGTTCCTCTTAAGTTTGCAAGCCCTCTAACATATTCCTCCATTTTCTCTACATCCTCTGGGAAAGGACACCCAAAATTGATGTTATCATCAACTTCTTCTTCATCACTTGTTCTCCATGCATTCACAAGCATGGATGTAGCCACCCCAAATGGAGAAATGCAATTGACCCTAATCCCATACCTTCCTAACTCACAAGCTGTGTTCTTTGTAAGTCCAACTATGGCATGCTTTGAAGCTGTATAAGCATGTGGTCCAAGCCCTCCCATGACTCCAGCTACACTAGATGTAGATATAATGCACCCAACTCCTCTAGGAATCATTACCCTCGCTGCATGCTTGATCCCCAAAGCCATTCCTTTCACATTCACACTCATGACTCGGTCAAATTCATCAGGATCAAAATTGACAATGCTCTTGTTCTTGGACTGGTTTCCAAGCACCCCAGCATTGTTGAAAATTATGTCAAGTTGTCCATAGTGAGAAACTGTGGAACTAACCAAATTCTCAACCTCATTTTCCATGCTAACATCACAGTGGACATAGGTAGCTGAAGGAGATAGTGTCTCAGCAAGCATGGTTCCAGCTTCATCCTCAACATCAGCAATCACCACCTTTGCACCATGCTTGACAAAAACTCTCACAGTTGCTTCCCCAATGCCTCTAGCACCCCCAGTTACAATAGCAATTTTGCCTTCCAATCTGTAACAACGTCAAACATAAGAACATAAAATAAGAAAAAAAAATATTCAATAATATGCTGAAGTTTGTTCTTTTTCAATGTTCATAATCAAGCAGGATTAGTGTTATGTATCTAAATGCTATAAAATGTACATTTTGGGCTGAACAAAATTGAAGATTTTGGACTAACCATTCATGGGGTGGAGGGTATATTTGTTTGTGTGGCCTTGAATGTACAGATTTTTTAATATGCTTCCCATTATTCATTGTCAATAAAAAAAATGATTTGCAAAGTGTAAAGAGAAAGATAGAAACGAATATAAATTACAAAACTTCGATAATAGAAATTATAGTACCTTTTACATGAAGCAGAAAAAGTGGTATCTGTAGCCTGCAGAGGAACCCCCTGAGCGTGTTTCTCAGACATTACAACCATGGTTGAAAGGGAGCTAAGGAGAGAGAAAGACAGAGGAAGCAGAGAGGGTTGCCGATTCCCAGTACGTGGGAGTTACAAAGAGCAAAACCGCTATATATATACGGGTAATTGTACTCATTTGGCGGATGGTAACTGACTAGGTGGGGGTAAGAGTATCTCTTCGATACTCTCTAATATCATCTTTAAGAGAAGTCTAAAGTCTTAATCATGAACCCTCCCCGAATCAGATTATTCGTGAAGACCGAGTATTTCCCAAAAAAAAAAAAATTGTCTCTTGCACACTTAACTTGAAGTGGGGCCCAATAGGTGAGAGAAGAAAAAAAAATTGACACAGGTATTGATCTATGAACAGAAGATAAGAAAATTTCCTAGTTACATAAGACTAGCATTGCCCTATACATATGTGTGTATGGAAATAATGTTTATAGAAGAGAAATTTTATATCCTACATGTACAAAAGTGTGTGAGATTTTTTTTTCTCTTTATATAAAACTCATACATTTTTATGTATATATAAAAGATAATTTTATCTTTTATAACATGAGAAATATTAAACCTATACATATATATGGGATAGATTATTCTATCTATTTACCTCTTTTCTTTTTCCTACTATAATAGCCCAACTTAATTAATTAGTAAATCTAGTGTGATTAATTAATTAAATATGTTTTAGTGAGTGAAATTAAGTATAAGGCTTAATTAAATGAATTTGAGTCACTTTGGAGTTAAAAAGTGTACTCAGTGAAAATTAAGGGGTATAAATGGGTACTGGCAAAAGTACCCAAAATATAAAGATAAAAATAGTAATATTCCTAGAATAATATTCCAGACTTTTGGGTAAAGTTTTGTAATTATTGGAGTTGAATAGATAGACGAACCAATACCCGCTTAAAGCCACTTAACCAATGTTAAGTGACCAAAAGCCAAAAGTAAACCCATTTCCCCCCTGCAACCCGTCGAGAAAGAAACAGAAAGAAGAAGAAGAAGAAGGAGAAAGGAGGGAGAAGGAAGGGGGGAAAGAGAGAGAGAGAGAAAGCAAATCTCAACCAAATCCATCCGTTCAAAAGCCTAAACCACTCCAAATCTCCTCCTCTTTCATAATCCTTGCTTTGTTTTGAGTGGGGAGCATTGTGGAGAGAGATATTACCTCTCAAAAATTCGGCCCTTTGGTGAAAATTGGGGTTTTGAGAGTTTCTACCTCCATTGAAGCTTGAGGAGCCATCAATCCTTGGTGGTGTGACCATCGGTGGTAAGATTCTAACCCTTGAACCTCATGATTCCTTGAAATTTGCATGAGTTAGGGTTTATGAATAGTAAATTGGGATTTTGATGAAATGTAGTTGAATTAGCTATGTTCTAGGAAGAATGGAGCTTAGAGCATGTTAGGGAAAATGCTAGGAATGTCATTTAATCGGTGAAAATGAGCTTAGATAGCCAAATGAGTATACTTGTAAAATGGCAAGAATATGATGCTTGATATTGGATTTCTTGCATTGTCGATAAATGGTATGGCTTGGTTGATTGATGATTGTGTCCTTGTGATGTCTAGGATTGAGACATTTGGACCAGCCGTGAGTGATCAACCATTGGAGCAAGCTATGGAGCTTGAATAGCTCATTGGAATTGGTAAGCTCATCCTTGTGTTGTGGTATGAATAGGATAGCTTGGATTGATGATGATGAGTTATCCTTGAATGCAATATGTTAATTGCATTACCCTTGTATAGGTGTATATTTGTAAAAGTGGATTGCTGAAACTGTTGGTGAAGAACAAAGGTCGACTGAAGCATTGAGGTAAGCCTTCGGACCTTGGGTGTAATTCCCTTGATTGTTCCACCAAGCCCTGAAAGGGTAGTGGTAATTATAGTGTATATAAATGCAATGAAATAATGTAATGCTTTGTTATATGTATGTGTATGCATTTGGTGTGGCATAGGATGGTGTTTCCCTATGTGGTATGTTGCATGACGATGCGTAAATCATACTTGGTAGTTAGCTGGCCAGTAGGACTGTTTGCATCTGAGTTCCTTAGGACAGCTTGAGAGCTCGAGGGAGTTCTCCTGGAGATGTATAGCACTTTGCATAGATATGTATTTACTGCATTATTATTGTTATTGCTATTACACTGATATGGAACTGTGGGGTGGAGAGATGCTCCAAGGACCCCTGGTTTACTGGATATATTCGTATATCTCACCCCGTGTTGTGGGGACCCCCTTTCAGGTAAGGATGCTGCAGGAGCCTCTGGTGGCAAGTGGCCATATCTGGATTACGCATGAAATGTGGCATTTCTTTTGAGATTATACATGTTGTTTTGTAGCTCACATGTATAGAATTGTAATGAATAGGCAATGCTAGATTTATGATTTGTATATTGGAATGGACTTAGCCTATGCTCATGCCTTTGGTTACACCTTTTGTTGATGGGAGCCAAGGGAATGATCATAGTGTTTTGTAAGCTAAGTTCTACGATTTGTAAAGGATCTGTAATGTAAATGATGTCTACTTGAAATTCAATATATGCATGCTTGTTATGTATTAAGTTGTTTATTGGTTGGGCTGAAAATCAATTAGGTACCCTTTGTTTAAATTGGTAAACGATGAGAAAACAAAGGTCATGCTGCCCAAATTCTAGCTAAATCTCATGAGGAGAGGTTGGATGAGTGCTAGGATTTAGTTTGGGGCATGGATAATTGGGGTTTGTAATGGGGATGCATCTTCCCCTAGGCTTGGACTTGAAAAATGTGGGAATTGGAATTCCCTGGCAGCGCGCTTACGCGCCCAGGAGCGCGCCCAAGCGCCCTGCTGCCCCTGCGAGTGCCAATGCATTCTGCCTCCTCGCGCTGGAGCGCCCAAGTGGGGGCTGAAGCGCCCAGGATTGCGCGCTGGAGCGCCCTGGCTTGCGCTTAAGCGCCCTTTGCTGCAGAAAGTTGGGATGCTTACTGTCCCCTCGTGTTTTAGCGCCCAGGGTGAGGCTTAAGCGCCCAGGGTTGCGCGCTTGAGCGCCCTTAGCCACTGAAGGAGGAGATGCTTCTGTCTCTGCGCGCTAAAACGTCCCACTGGGAGCTTAAGCGCCCAGGATAGCGCGCTTGAGCGCCCTAATGCGCGCTTAAGCGCCCATTTACACTGGAATATCTTATGCTTCCTGCCTCCGTGCGCTTAAGCGCCCAGATGGAGGCTTTAGCGCCCGATAGCGCGCTGAAGCGCGCGGGGCCTGTGACCAACACTCTCTTGTGTTGCTTCAAATTGTCCTAACTTGGACTACAGTGCTCCGATTTGAGCACGGTTTGAAGCCACAGGTAGCTAATGAAGAAACCTACAATATAGTAGAAGATATGAACTAAATAAGAAGTAAATTAATGGGTTAAAAATGGAAAATGAACATGATGTTAAGCTTAATTTATCTGTTTCCGCAAGGTAATATGGTTATGATCACGAAAATGGGTATTATAAGTTCGGTACGTTTTAAAATGAAAAATTTATCCGGATTTTTAATTGAACCCATGTGATTGTAACTGCGCTTAATATCATAATGCGATGTTAACAAACCGGTTCTAGAACGGGGTGTTACATTTTATGGTATCAGAGCAGTTTCGTCGGGAATAACTGTTAGCTATTGTTGAGTATCCTTAGTGTTTGATGCTTTATAGTTATTTTAGTACTCTTTATGATTATTGCATTTGTGATCACTAAGTGTGGGCCTGATCAACTCACTTCTTTGTGTAACATGTGTAGTGACATGACGAGGAACCGAAACAACCCCGGACCATCAAACACCAATGCTCAGCCAGAACCTGTTTTGGCTGCTCATGTGAGGCCTAGAAGTGGCCGTGGGGAAACGGGCGTACATCCTGATCCCGTGGCTGAAGCTCTTGCAGCCGTTCAGAGGGAGTTGGCTGCTAGCAGGCAAGCCAATGAAAATCTGATGAAAACAAATGAAGACTCGCGGACTGTTATGGCTGCAATGATGACCGAGTTGAGGACGTTGAGGGGTCCTAGGCCCGTGAACCGGCAACCCACTCCTCCTCCTCATACTGCTACGCCTTCTCCACCTCCTTCACAGGAAGAGGGTGGAGTGGGTAACAATGAGGGTGAGGGTAGTCACCACTCTGGAAGTCGGAGTCATCACACTGAGGTTCGTCAACCTCGAGTTGAAAATGTCGGTGATCATGAAGTGGAGGAAAGAAGATTGATGGCTTTCCAAAACACAAACCTCCTTCTTTTAAGGGAGGTTATGAGCCAATGGCGGCTGCAAAATGGCTCCAAGCGATGGAGAAAATATTCAGGGTGATGAGATGCCCTGACGCAATGAAGTTGGCTTACTCTGTTTATATGCTGGAAGAGGAAGCAGAAGATTGGTGGACAAATACCGTGCAGCCATTGGAAGCTGAAGGTCGGGAGATCACATGGCGGTTGTTCGAGACATTGTTCTTGGATAACTACTTCCCTAGAGAGGCTAGGGAACAAAAGCAGAATGAGTACAACGACCTTAAGCAAGGGTCGATGTCTATTGACCAATACTTCTCAAAATTCAATGAGTTGGTGAAATACGCCAACTATGGGCGAGCCTTACCCACTCCGGCTGAAATGACCTCCAAGTTCCAATGGGGTCTTAATGAGAAGATGTCTCGGAAGATGTCAAATTGTGACATCCGAGAGTTCAGTCGGTTTGTAAACCAGTGTAGAAAGGTGGAAGAAGTGTATAAGGTGTCCCAAACCAAGAAGCCTTCTGAGGCCCAGACACCTAGTTCCAATAAAGCAACGGGCTCAGGTTATTGGAAGAACAGGAAGATGCAAGGCAAGAAGCTGAATGCGAATAAGCCCTTTGACTTGTTCAAAAAACCCGGTACTCAGAAGAATTTTGTTGATAGAGGACCTCCTCCCAAGTGCAAGGGATGTGGCAAGGAGCATAGAGGTCCATGTGCTACCGGTGAGGTGATCTGTTTTAAATGTGGAAGATCCGGTCACTATTCCAGGCAGTGTCCTCAGAACGAAGCAAGGACTATGGCAGTTCAAGCTACTGCTGTTCCTGTCTCTGTTGTTCCACCTATGCTAGAGTCTCAGACGGTTGGTAGAGTATATACCATGGACCGTCAACAATCGGAGAAGGCTCCGAATCTAGTGAAAGGTACAATTTATATTGATAATATGGATGTTGAAGTGTTGTTTGATTCAGGAGCTACACACTCCTGTATGTCTGATTTTATGGCCGTTGGGCTAAATCTGCAAATGTACGACATTCGCCCTCCAATGAAAGTGGTTACTGCTACTGGAGAGGAGTGTTATACATCCGTGTTGTGTAAAGATGTTGAGTTCAAATATGAAGGCCGAGATTACGTGCTGGATTTTATTTGTTTACCTATGATCAGCCTTCAAGTTATCTTGGGTATGGACTGGTTGTCAAAGAACTGTGCTATGATAGACTGCTGTGGTAAAAGGATTGTGCTTGATGCTGATGATTCTGCTACTAGTTCTTCCCCATATCTATCTGTGTTGCAGGTTAGAAAGGCTTTGAGGGCCGGGGCATTGGGATATGTCTTTGTGGGGGGTTTAGTAGGCGGAAGTCATGAGGAGATTGGCACTATTTCCGTGGTGAGGGAGTTTGTGGATGTGTTTCCAGATGAAATTCCACAACTTCCGCCTCATAGAGAGATTGAGTTCACGATTGATCTATTGCCTGGTGTGGGGCTTATCTCTCTGGCTCCGTATAGGATGTCACCACCGGAATTAGCCGAGTTAAAGAAGCATATTGAAGAGCTTTCGACTAAGCAGTTTATCAGGCCAAGTGTGTCCCCGTGGGGAGCACCAGTCATATTTGTTAAGAAGAAGGACGGTAGCATGAGATTGTGCACTGATTACCGTCAGTTGAATAAGGTTACTATCAAGAACAAGTATCCTCTCCCTCGCATAGATGATTTGCTTGATCAGTTGAGGGGTGCTTGTGTATTCTCAAAGATTGATTTGAGATCGGGTTATCATCAAATCCGAATTAGGCAGGAAGATATTCCGAAGACTGCCTTCCGATCTAGATATGGACATTATGAGTATCAAGTAATTCCATTTGGACTCACTAATGCTCCTGCGGTGTTTATGGATTACATGAATCGCATATTTAAGCCGTTTCTGGATCAATTCGTGATTGTGTTTATTGATGATATCCTGATATATTCGAAGAGTAAGGAAGAGCATGAAGGTCACTTGAGAACTGTGTTGCAAATTCTCATAGAGAAACAGTTATATGCAAAGCCTTCTAAATGTGAGTTTTGGCTTTCTCAAGTGCAATTTCTGGGTCACGTTATCTCTGCTGATGGAGTGGCGGTTGATCCTAGCAAGATAGAGGCAGTTGTTGATTGGGAGAGACCCAAGACAGTAACGGAAATAAGAAGTTTTCTGGGTTTGGCTGGCTATTACCGGAGATTCATTAAAGAATTTTCAGCCATGGTGTTGCCATTGACCCGTTTGACCCGGAAGGATACTCCATTTGTTTGGACACAAGAATGTGAGGAATGCTTTCAGAGCCTTAAGGAGAAATTGACGACAGCTCCAGTGTTAGTACTTCCTGATCCGGAAGGTGAATTTGAGCTATACAGCGATGCTTCCAAGAAGGGATTGGGATGTGTGCTGATGCAAGATAGGCGGGTGGTAGCTTATGCATCGAGGCAATTGAAACCGCATGAAGAAAATTATCCAACCCATGACCTTGAGCTTGCTGCAATTGTTTTTGGGTTGAAACAGTGGAGGCATTTCTTGTATGGAATGCAATTTGCAGTATTCAGCGATCACAAGAGTTTAAAATACTTGTTTGATCAAAAGGAATTGAATATGAGACAACGACGGTGGACCGAGTTCCTAAAAGACTATGATTTTGAATTGAAATATCATCCTGGCAAGGCTAATGTTGTAGCTGATGCACTGAGCCGTAAATCTGTGAGCATATCAAGCATGATGATTAGAGATTATGATGTGATTGAGAGGTTCAGAGATATTCAATTATCTAAAATCTTTCCATGTAAAATTTGTGGCTTTGAAATCACAAGCATTGAGAATGAACTGATGACCAGAATTAAAGAGGCTCAACTGCAAAATGAAAGCGCTAAACGACTAAAAGGTCAGAGTGGTGTATCCTGCAATGATGTGGGTGTACTACTATATCAGGGTCGTGTTGTAGTACCTAGGCAGTTGGCGGAGGAAGTGATGACAGAGGCCCATAAGGGTCATTTCACAGTTCATCCGGGAGCTACAAAGATGTATCAGGACCTAAAGGTGAATTTCTGGTGGCCTGGTATGAAGAGAAATATTGCCGAATTTGTCTCTAAGTGTCTCATTTGTCAGAAGGTAAAGATTGAGCATCAAAAGCCTTCTGGTATGTTACAACCTCTAGATGTTTCTGGATGGAAATGGGAGAGTATCTCCATGGATTTCGTAGTGGGATTGCCGCGGACACAGGCTAGTTATGATTCTATATGGGTGATTGT